ACAGAATCCGAAGCAGGCTCCAGGCTCTGAGCTGTCAGCACAGAGCCCGACACGGGGCTCAAACTCACAAATCGTGAGATCATGACCTGGGCTGAAGTCGGACGCTTAACCGACTGGGCCACCCAGGCACCTCTCAGTTAACATTTATTAACCTCAAATTATGTTCAAACCTCCGGGCTGGTTGCTGTATCAATGAGGAAAGATATAGTAGCTTCCCAGACAGCATAAAAATGATTTGTGCTGGTGACCACTTCTCTTAGATATGGGGAAGGGCCCACAGAAGGGAGTGCACGACACTTTGGCCATCCTGTAGAGAGGGATGACTCACTAATTCCACTCCTAGGGATTTCCCAAGAGGATGAAAGCATCTGTCCAAACAGACTTGTCCGCCAGTGCTCAGAGCAGATTTGTAATAGCCCCAAACTGGAAACAGGCCACGTGGCTGTGGCATCCCGGACCACGGAGTACTCCTTAGCAACAAGGATGGTGGACGTCTGTAGACATGAAGGCATGAGCAAACCACAGAGAGGTGATGCTGAGTGGAAGGAGCCAGACCCAAAAAGAGCGTATCCCACATGATTGCATTCACAGATAATTCTAGAAAGCGTGAATCAGTCTGTCATGGCAGGAAGCACATCAGTGGTTCCCTGGGTGGGGAGGGGTGGGTGGAGAGAGGCAGGAGAAGGATGGTAAAGGGGTGCAAGGACATTTTGGGATGTGGTTGTTATCTTGGTGATTGATGGTGGTTCATGGGCGTGTGATGTGTGGTCCCCTTACACCTTAACAGGGCTGAAGGAGGGAGGGTGGGTGGTGTGTGATTCAGCTGCAGGAGTTCACAGACTGTGGACTGTTTTCAGCAAATCGGACTAGGCAGGAGAGAACGAGATGTCCTATACATACCCTGGGCCCAACTTTCTTGAAACCCAGCACTGCTCCCTGGCCCAGGCTGGATCTCAGTGGTCTGCGTTTACCTTTGGCGACTTTCAAACCCCGTCACCCTGTGCTCTGTGCACGTCTTTTCCAGGCGTCCATCCTGGACTTGCACTCAGGAGCCCTGTCTGTTGGGAAGCACTTTGTGAACCTGTACAGGTGAGAGCCCAAGAGGGGCTGCGACCCTCTCTGTGCGGTATGACCTTGCACCCTCGTGCAGTTCTTAGCTGGGAAGTGGGAGGTGTGGCCCTTCTCAGGCGCAGGGTCCCTGTTCACCAGCTGCAGGAAATAGTTTAGCGCTACACCCAGGGAGCGCTTCTTGGGAAAGCAGGACCTACCTGAGGCCTAGGGACAGCTGGGGTGAAGGGGGGGGGGGGGGGGGGGGGAAGTGTGGTGCCCACCCAGGCCTAAATAAGGAGCCGAAAGAGCCTAGGGGGCACCTGATCCTCCCCTGAGGCGTGCAGGTCAGGGAAGGAGAAAGGATCTCCAGCCCTTGCTGAATGCCTGCACCCCACACCTGCTGGTATTGACTCTGCCTCCTTTAATCCACATTAGTTGCCAGAGGAGCAGTTGGTGAGGGACAAGCGTTGTTTTCAGGGACCTACTGGTTAGTTGGAGGAAACACTGAGTTTAAAGGAAATAAGGAAAAAGAGATTTTAAATGTTAGCATATAATGTAAAACGTTGAATACAAATGCTTAATGAAATGTAGTATTTGTTGTCATTACAGCAGCTTGGCAGATGGATGATAGGGGCCAAACCGCCTTTTCCTGTGGTGAGTGAGACTCCCAGTGTTGTACCGGGTGAGGAGGAAAAGGGGTGAGGAGGTCGATGTGGGAGGCAGGTGCAAGGGCGAGTGGGAGGGTCAGGGCTCGTGTGCCCAGGAGCTCAGTTTGAATGGGCTTAAAACCTGGGTGTGCCCCTGCCGGCCTCACTGCACCACTGCTCACCCACCACTTAGACCACCACTCCTCGGCCATCAGTGAAATCCCCACCCATCTCATCCCTCACCACTGCAAGCTCCCCCCCCATCCACCACCCATCCAGTCTCAATTTTTCTTCCCCCACTCACTGCCCCACCACGACACCAGCCACTTAGACCACTGTTACCCACCCCTGCCAGCAGCACCACCACTCACCTTCTAATTCAATCTAGCTACGCCACTCTTCACTCACTTCTGGGTTTGCGGCAAGCAGCTCTCTTTCACTCATTCCTGGTTAGTTGTCGCCAATTCTTTTTTGTCTCTTGGTTTCACTTTCACCTTATCATCACTCCCCTGTTCCTTCTCTCTGTAGGTGTGCTTTTATCCACTTACAATCGTTTAGTTCAAGCTCTGCCCCCTCTGGATTCACACTCTCCAGTCCGTGGGCTCACTGGTCACACCATCTATTCAATCATGTTGACCACGCTTTAAAGACTACTCATCTCCATCGCGCCAAGTTGACCACGCTTCAGTGTCTTCTCTTTTCAACCTCCTCAAGCCTCTCTTCTTCTCTTCTCTTCATTTCCATTAGAAATTTGGTTTGTTAGTAGGGGTATGTTAGAAATGGTTCAATGCAGAAGGTGAAATGCAATCATCATTGGAATCCGTAGATGAAGGGGTACCCTCCCCCTGCTCCAGGAGGCTCAGGGAAACCAGTTCCAGCTGAGTGGGGCTTCTCTAAAAAATACCTGAGGGAAGTGGGCAGCGGACTGGTCTACCTCCGTCCGAGGTTTCCTTCTTTCCCTGGTTCTCCTCGCCCTCTGGCGCAGTAGTCAGGGCAGAGATCGCGCAAGGGACTAAACTGAGCAGCAGCTTTTGTGCTGGTGGGGTAGGTGGCCACTGGGCAGCTTCCCGGTAGTTGCAGGGGTCTGTCAGTCAGCTTACTTCCAGCCTCACTACCACCACCCAGCAGTGGAGGCTGCCCCCGCCCAGGGCTGTCTCTTCTGCCTCTGGCCTGACAGCTCTCACTTGATGGGAATGAGGCACATCCAGCCTCAGGGGGGTCCAGCAGTTTGTAACCCATTGCAGGCTGGCTCCATCTCTCACACACCACACATTGACATGTAGCCAGTGCTGACTCCCCCATATGCCCTGTTTGTTGTCAGGACACAGCCCCTCCTTTGTCCCGTGGCAGTCACTGGCCAAGTAAGGTGTTTCCAGTTGTTTTTTTGTTTCTCGCTTGTTTTTTTTTTATCTTGGGGGGAGGAGAAGGGCAGGAGAGAGAGAATCCCAAGCAGGCTCTCCGCTGCCAGCACAGAGCCCGACTCTGTGCTCCTTCCCATGAAGCGTGAGATCATGACCTGAATCCGAAATCCAGAGTCTGGCTCTCAACCGACTGAGCCACCCAGGTGCCCCAGGAGTGTTTTTGTTTTTTATTTAAAACTTTTAACTTTTAGATAATCAAGACTTCCATACTGTTTTGAGAACTAGCACAGTGAGACCCTGTTGTACCCTCCACCCAGGATCCCTGACTGCAACTGCTTCGTGTGAGAGTAGGGTGTCGCCCCCAGGATGTGGCATGCCACCTATTTGTTCAGATTCCCTGCTTTCACCTTATTTGTGTGAGTGTGTGCAGTTCTGTCCCCGTGTAGGTCATGTAAGGGCCGCCAGTCACGCCACCAGGCATCCCGTCCCCACGCGGCCCCCACTTTGCCCTTGTGCACCCTCAGCTCCAGCACCCATCCCCAACCAGCAGCCAGCAGGCCTCCTGGGCTGGAAACACAGCTGCCGCTTCCCCTTGGTCACATCTCCAGGGAGACAGCTGGAAAACAAAGCTGGGCTACTGGTCCAGAGAGAAGTGAGGGGTCGGATGAACTCTACACATGAATAGTAACGGCAGTGAGTGGTGCACTTGATCCCTGCCATGCGCTAGTGACCTCACTTGGTGGCTGTGAAGTCTGGGCCTGGAGCGCGACAGGGTCTCCTGGTGCAACCAGCCAGGCACTGGTGGTGCAGGAGCCTCAGTCTGTGATTACACAGTGACCAGTCAACGTCATTCACCATGTTACCGTTTAGTAAAAAGTGTGGGTCGGTATTTTCACGTTCATAAGGTCAATGAAACATATGAATGAACACCGTGAATGAAGGGAAAACAGCAGATTTCTGTCTCATTTGAGTGTGAACATGCAGAGAGGAAGGGTGTCAGTCACCTCTGTAGTATGGAAGGGCTTGCGGTCGCACACAGAACCCAGGAAGGGTTGCACAAATGAAAAAGAGTTTGTATTTCTGGAGAGAAAACCCAGTCGGTGGTTGCACCCAGAAGCATGCATGCTGTCGCTGGGCACGTGGGCACTGGATGACGGCTCCCAAGAGGCAGGCGATGCCCCCTGTGTTCTAGCGCAGCTTAAGGTTTAATAAATGAGATTGGTAATTATCAATGAAGAAAGAGGGAAGGAACCAATCAGTTTCACACAGTAAACCAATTGTTAAAATAATAATAACTAAAAAAATAATGAAAACTTTTCAAAATATGTTGTTGAAGAGTGTTGTCAAGTAGATGGCAGTGTTTAGAGAAATCTTTTTTCTCATCTTGTCTATTCTATGGTTAAAAATAACTGAGCATTTGGAGATATGAGCAGAATATTACCAGCACAAGATACCAGTGTGATCTAATTTATGGTCTAGATCATCACAGACCACATCTGCAGAGTGACAGAGCAGGGTTTGGGTGACATCTCCACTGCTGTCTCCCACACAAGGATTCCGATAATTCACAGAAAATGCAACGCTCCGTCTGTGGGTCTCACAAACCTGGAAGGAGAATGGTGGCTGAGATGGGCTATCTGGCCAACGTTCAAGGCAAACATTTGGTCTGAACCGTTCCCCGCACCACACCTCGGGCTGTTACACTCAGGACCACGTCCACGTCGTGTCCTGGACTCTGAGTCACCAAACCGCCTTTTCTGGATGTGCCGAAGATAAAAGCCACCAAATCGCTTCCAGACTTTTCTCAGCCGCCATCTGTGCGCTGACATCAGGGAGAATACGCAGCATGATATGCACAGAAGCCAGAACCATGAAAGCTGAGGACTGTCCTGGTGGCCCCGTGGGAGCCGTCGCCACAGCGGGAACCGTCACCACAGCGGGAGCCATCGCCACAGCGAGAGCCGTCGCCACAGCGGGAACTGTCACCACAGCGGGAACCAAGAAGTGGAAGGCCAGTGTGCCCCAAGTGGGCGGGGCTCTTTCTGGCTCCAAGGTGGAAATGTTAAGTTGGTGAACATAGAATAAAAGTGAGGAAACCAGGAGAGAGAAGCAGAAAGTACTGCAGAAGCTGAGAGGAAGCTTGTGCGTGGAGTGAAGCTGGGATTGATTCCAGGAGGAGCAGCATCGCATTGTCAACGCGTCATCCACGCCGTGTGCTGTTTGGTGACAGATGGAAGAATATCATGAGTCTCTAAGTTCTTTCAGTTTGTCGGACTCCGACATTTGGCTAAACTCTGAAATGCTTTGGGCCTTGAAGGTGAACAAAGATGAAGAAACGGAGCCTGCTGGATAAGTGATGTGCTCATAAGTACTTTTTATGACTTGGGTGATAAGAGCCACTGAATGCATATGTCCCTCCTACCCCATGGAGGAGTCCGAAGGATTCTGAACATAATTGTTGGTCCAGCAGAAGTTCCATGGGCATCACTAATGTTAGAATAACTACTAACTGAGATGAGTTTGGGGGAGCCCCACCCCAGGAAAGGTCTAGCGCACCCCCAGCTAGTGCCCTGCCTTGTGGGAGTACCCTTGAGCACGTGGTGTGCATGTTGAAGCATCACCATCAGTGGTTTGGAAATGTTGGAATGATTTATGTCCTGTTGGGCTGGAGCTCCATCATTTGTGGTCCTAGACCTAGTTTACCAAATATTCTGTAAGTGTGCACACAGGTAGGTACCTGTGTGTGCACATGTGTGTGTGTGTGCACACCTGTACATGTAGGCGCGTATGGGGGTGTACACGTATGTATGTGTATATGGGAGCAGGTATGTGCATGCGTAGTTATGTCTTGCAGGCATGTATTGTGCATGTGTATGGGAGTTAGTGTGTATGTGTGTGCGCATGTGTGTGGGCATATATGTAGGTAGGTACGTGTGTGCACGTGTGTAGACGTGTGTAGGTAGATGGACAGCAAGTGCATGTGTCCGCCTCACAGGTGTGGCTCAGCCTGTGTAGTGCTGCTCCCCTGCATCCTGGCCTCCCAGGAGTCGGCTCCCTGGGGCTCTGTGGAATGGGCCGTGCAGGTCAGCAGTGGTCCAGGGAGGGTGGTGCCCCCACCACGAATGCCCGTGTGGTGAATTGTGCCCCGTGGCACCTCGCCGCACAGCCGCGTGTGTAGGGCTGCGAGCCCAGACCCCTGGATGTGCCAGGGAGGGGCTGGTGTCTCCGGGGGCAGCACCCCTCTGCCGCGGCAGGAATGGCCCGAGCCCCTGACCACGCACAGTGCAGCTCTCAGACAGGGCCGAGGTCGTCCTCTGGGCCTCTGTCGGGAGCACGTGCACCTGGTGCAGAGGGCCACTCGCCCCGCAGCTGCCTGTCTGTCCCCGCAGACGGGGCCCCCGCCCTTGGCCATGCCCCAAGGAGCCGGTCCTCAGGGTTCCTGGCTCTGCACACGATGCGCCTTCACACGTGCGTGGGCCACATGTACGTCTGTCCATCTCGCTGCTTTCCCACAGCCGTGTCACTCTGTAGCGTGGTGCTGCGTGGGCTCCATGGGGCCCGTGGAGAATCCTCTCCTCTGAGGCTGCACTGCTCCTGGGTGACGCCTGTGTCCTCTCTACAGGGACGTGCGGCAGAAGGTCCAGCTCACAATCGCCCAGGCTTTCGGCATCAGCGCATCTTCGCTGCACCTGACCAAGCCCACGTTCTTCTCCCGCATCAACAGCACCCAAGCCCGGACAGCACACGACGAGTATTGGCACGCGCACGTGGACAAGGTGGGCACCCGCTCTCCAGCATGGGCCCCGGGGCTTGTTCGTGGCTGCCCGAGCAGCCCGCCCGGGTTTCTGAGTGTCCACTGCAGCCTTTCTGT